TTTTTTTTTTTTTTTTTTTTTTTTTTTCTCCTATGCTCAAATAATTTCTCCCTGAAATAACCCACTTGGAGCATTTCTTACTTCCTAAGAGACTTGCAACACAGTTGAGTGCTTCATCAGTGTTCAATACAAGAAAATGTATTCTGACAACACCCCTTCTCTTCCAGGGTGCAAACCCTACTCGAATTATGTAATATGGTACTATTTTAAGAACAGTTTAGAATTTAGGTAATAATTGAAAAGCAAACTATTTGGAATCCCTAATTACATGGAAGGACAAGACTCAGAAGCCTAAGAGCTCAAAATCACACATGGAAATGATGAGCAACTGAGAGGTCAAAGGCATTATCTTCTCTGTTCACTACTTTACAAAGCAAATACCTTTCAAAATCTTTTCAAATTGTGATAGCAAAGGTTTAATGACATATGTTTTATAAAGATACTTTATAAAGGGTTCTGCAGCGGATGTGTCTGTGGTTTGAATTATTGCAGACATTTTAATGGAAATTCAGAGACTTCAGTGAAGAAACAGAAAGTAAAGGGTCTTGCTGAAATACAGATTTCTTTATTCTTTAAGTAGAACCAGGCATTTCCCTCACAGACAACTTGAAGTTGAAGGTACTATAGATAAAGCTCATAACATTGACCTGCTGATAAAGTGTATTTTAATTAATTATCATATCTGTTTCAGGCATTACTGGGAATCAAATAGATAGATAAGAGGCAGCAGTTTTCCAGTTGTTTTTTACTCTCCCTAGTTACTCTGCAACATTGGTGCATATCTAGTGACATGAAGTAAACTTTGGGATGCTATAAAAAGAACTGTAAAAGTATGCATCTAGGAATAAGTTAATCTAATTCACTGCAGTGATGTTTTGGAAACAGTATTAAATTTTGTGGAACATTCATTTATGGAAATAAAACCAGGAAAGGGGTCAAGATGTATTCTGTGAGGGCAGTCAAACTGTTCCAGCAGTAGGTAAGCAATTCTTGTGTATTTTAAATTGAAAAAAAAAAAAAGTGTCCAAAAAGAGGAGGTGATTTAATCATACTTTTCCTTTTTGATAATTGCCCTAAACTGTCTAGTTCTAAAGCACAAACACAAAGTCTGTATTATCAGATCTCTTGGGATGGTCAGCTCTTCTGGGATGAAGGTAAATTAATAATTTCAGGGGTAGTTGCTTAAGTTATAGTTTAGCTTTTCAGTTTGTTCCCCAGATGACACAAGAGGACCTTGGCAAAGTAACTGAAGTCCTGCAGTATGTTTACTACTGAGTTGCTTTAAAAGAGTGAGAGTGATATCAAGTTCCATTATAGGTTTATTAATCTGCCATCACATTAGTAATTGCTGTGCAATTTGATCACTCTCATGTATGAAAGATGGGGAGGTGGATGTTATAAACAAATTACATGTTAACTTTAAATGTACTGATAAAGGTGTTTCAGTTCCAACAAAAATTAATTCAAGTCTTTTACCTTGTGCTATAAGAGAGGTTATACTGTATGATCACACCATCCCTTCTGCCTTTGTAATACGTGAATCTGCAAATCAACTATCTTGTGTAATTAGGAGTATATCAAATGTTTTAAATCAGTGTCAGAGTTTATCAGCACAGTAGCAGTAGCAGGTGTCTTGCTTTCTTCCAGCAGGCTGATAGACAGATAGTAGTTGTTTGTCAAATATCAGACTTCAGGGACACTGTGTGAGTAGCAAGCCACTGTTGTCAACATGGACGTTTTCTGTGAGTAGCATGAAATTAGCCAAACACACACGTGCATGATACATCTCTTTCAGTTTTGCTGCCTGTTCATAATAACCATATTTAAGAGACATGTTATATTCTCATACTCATCAAGTCACCTCTTCATTGCTATGACATAGTTGTAAGGAAAACCAGCTGTGCAGACAGTTTTTTTGGGGGAAAGGTTGACAACTGTGTTCTATGAGCTAGACCCTTTGGCCCATTAACTGTTGTGGATCACAGTCACCAGGTTTATGTGATTTCCTGACCCTGCTCATCTGTTTTTGTTCTCAATCAAAAACCTAATGGTGGGAGGTTGAGTATCTCTTGAGTTATATCCTGGCTTTGCAACCTTCCAGCTTCCTTTTATTTACTTTTTTTTCCACCTCCAGGTATTTGGACTTATTAATACCCTCCATTTCTGTGCATTTTATGCACATTTTTCTGTGCATTTCTGTGCATTTAAACAGCCTCTAGGTTGTTTTCCTACTGTGATCTGGTGAGTGCTAATTATCTATAGATGTGTTACTTGATATCAGCTGCTCAGGCATGATGGGAGCTGTTTGAGTCTTTCTCAACTCTGGGGGCGTTTTGGATTATGCTCACTGTGTGCAATCTGAGTTATTCATAAGCAAGGCCTAGTGTTGCATGAATTTTGGCATACCAACAAGTGGATAAAAGAGACAGATTTTTTCTTACATATATCAAAGTAAGGATTGGGTTTTTTTCAGTCCCTGTGTTTAAGATATTTTGTTGATGGTGCTGTGGTTATTTTTGACAACTATTTTGTATTTCTAGGAGTCTACTTGAGTCAGAAGGGCTGAAATACAGTGTTGGCAGCATGTAGGTTTTGATCCACTCATCTCACTGGTGATGTCCACCTCTTCCTATGAAACGCTGAAGCAATATATTCTTGCTCATGGTAAGCAACTCACAAGTGAAATAAAAGAAAGATTCTGGCTGTCCTCTCTTTAATTTATATAACTAAAGCCTTTTTATATATATATATATATTCTTTTCTTTTGAGCATTAAGTATGATGATTTTCAGATTTGCTGCTAGATTGCATGGGGAGCTTCAGATTGAACAGCAGGAATAGAGTTTAAGAAAAATCTACTGAACTAGTTTTTATTTTTCCTTCCATTGCCTCTGTTAACCCTTATAAGTATGGTCATAGCTTTGAGCTGGGAAAAGAGAGGAAACTGAGATACTTTAAAATGAAATTAATACACTTGGCTTCTCTTCTATGGAGACTGGGTTTGTCTAGATGTAGGGAGAAATAAGCATAATAGGAATGTTTTCTTGCTTCCAAGATGAAAGTTAATAGGCTGTGCCACTGTAGCAGAGATGTGTAAGGTTAAGTGAATAAATCATGCCATTATTCAGCAAAATACACTAAGTAAAACAGCTGGTTTTGAACACTGAACTTGCCAAATGTCAGCAGAACCAGGTCGGGTGACTTGAAACACAACATGACTTTAACAAGCCCTTTTTAAAGAGTTTGGGTGAATTGTTTCAGCTGTGTATTTACTCTCTTATGGCAGATAATATGCCAGATATCCAGACTTTGAGATTAACAAAGGCAACAATATTTAACTTGCCTGTGATTTGGAGAAAATAACTACAATAAAAATAAGAAGAGGTGAATTTCTGCTACATACAGCTAGTGAAAGGAAATGTCGGTGATCTTAACCTCTGCCTTCAGCCTTGCTATAATCCTGAAGATTCTCCCATTACAGCGCACACATTTTGCCACTGACTTGGACCACCAGCAGTAGCCCAAGTCCCCTGTCAAACTCACCATCTTGTTAATTCAGTCAGATCCAAAATCCAGCTCTCACAAAGCAAATAGACCCTTCCTAGCCACTGCCTTCAGCATCAATCTCTTCCTCCCCTACACTCCTTCACAAAACCCGTGCTGGCTCCCCACAGGTTTTCTTAAGCGTCTGAAGAGCTTTGAGGCCTCCCTGGCAGATAACCCTGATAGTAAGAAAAAAGTGAGTGTTTCTTCATAAGCTGCTATGAACTAATATAATGCATCTTTTCTTCTGCCAAATGGTTTCCTCCCCGGGATTAATACCATTACTGAGAATATTAAAGGCATTAATTATTTCTTCTTCTGTTTGGTAACACTTTGCAATGATTTTGGTATCTCTTTCTTGCTTAAGTAACAGTCATTGAATAGAATGATGTCTTTTTAGTTGCTGAATACTTTGCTCTTAGCTCAGCAACATTTTAGGACATCTGCCAGGAGTGTTCACAGACTTTAGGCAGACTTTATGTGTTCAAGGAAGGGTTTTTTTTGGATGGGATACAGTAATTAGAATTTCACTGGACCAACAAATTAGGATCCTATTACATCACTGAACAGCAAGCCATAATTATGTCTAAATTGCTTTCTGGATGATATTCCTTGCCCATTAATAGTTCTTCTCCCTATATTTTAAGTGGATGTGAAATAGTTAAACTTTAATCAACTACAGAAATATTGAAAAACTATTAATAAATATTTAACAAGTTACTGAATGGAATAAATTAATACTTACAAGGATAGCCCTGGATGGTTTTCTTCTCTATGGATAATGAAATTACTTATTTTCTGCTGACAGGCATGTAAATTATTGTTTGGATCTAGAATATATCAGTGGACAATGAGAAATGCTATTTAGAAATTTCTATCTTGGAAACAAATAACCCTAGTATTTGGAGACCTTCATCACGCATTTACTCATCTCTTTTCTGCTACAACTCTATTTAAATACTGAGTATCATGTTTCACAAAGTATTGCCTTTCAAATTCAGAGCTTTAAGAGTTTGGGAGTATTCTAATTTGTGATCTCCTTCTGAAGTATGACAAACAGAGAGAGAATGGGAAAGAGATGGATGCAATCTGTTCAATATAGATATAGAATCCAATCAAAATGAGTCTGACATCTAGGGAACAGTCACAGCTGAGATTGTGGTTCTAGTGTCTTTACAAACCTTAAAAGTGGATTTTCTAAATTCCTTCAGGCTGATTCCCTGCCTTTCTATCTCTGACCTGAGAGAACAAGAAGCCCAAGATAACTATCAGCTTGAATACTGGCATTAAACTTTAAGGCCACCTTCTTCAAGCTACAGTTGATGTTGCCTCAAGGTACTGGAGGACATTGTGTGCTGCCACCTCCAAAGAATCGAGTGGCTTATTATAGTGATGAAAAGCCGTTGGCAGAAAAAGAAATCTGTCCTGGCACCAACCGCCTGGTACTTAGTAAAAGAGTTTCAACCTTGCGCTTGGACTAGAGTTCACCAAGTTCCCCATTCTTGATTTACCAGGTCAGATACCTTGTTTTCTTCTTCCTGCCACAACATGCATGATAGGGAATATATTTTGGAGCCCTAAATATCTTTACATGGCATAAGATGTGCATGACTGTCAGTAGGCAGTATAGATGTTATCTGTCGGTTTATGTCCAACTTCCTCTTGCTGATAGAGTGATCGCGTTTCAGAGGTGGATCACTTCACAGTTGGTTCTACTAGGCCTTTTATTCATTGACTTCAGTGGTCAATTTGGGATAGCAGCTGATGGTCTGGACTTGCTTTTCACTGTAGCATTTCTTGTAAGATTTTATATTTAACTGTTCTGTGAGAAAACACCTCAGGAGATTATATATTCCTTACTCTTTGAATCTCACTATCATTCCCCTCTTTAGTATTAATATATGTAAGAATTTATATACTATATTTTATAAACTATATTAATCTCTTTCAGCTATTCTTTCCTATGGGAAGGAATATCTTTTCCTAACCCATAAGCTAGTGCCATTTTACAAATAGTGAATGTGTTGATTGAAACAGATTAACTACATAAAGGCTGTGTAATTGCTGTTCAGATGCACAAGTACTACTGCTACTGTGTTACAAAGGAATCTGCGATTCAAGAGTCCTGCCATTTGCTTTTGGTGCAAGGTGACCTCAATGTATTTTGTCATTATTGGATCAAAGTTAGAGTAACAGAGAGTTCAATACTGACTGAAGCAAAGATAAACCTGGTGGGGGTTGACTCATTGAGATGTAATCTAATATGAATTTTTTTTTCCCTCATAGTTTGAGGGAACTTTTCATCAGCTGAGCAACAGCAGCTGCTTTGCTTTATTTCCTCTTCCCCGTTATTCACAGTGGCAGCAGCCCCCAGAAGTAGTTGCTTGCATCATTGTCACGTAATGTGTTCACAAAACATGATAACTTGATACCTCATGTATGTTCTAGTCCTTAAACAGTTACCGCATTATCTTAGTAGGACAAGAACTTCAGAATTGGAAAGTATCAAAATTTAAAATGCTCCACTTTACCCAATTTTGTGCAGGTTCTATCCTAAAGCATTCTCCATAATAGAGGGTAGTGTCACATATGATACACACTATATTGGCCAAAATCAAAGGGAATATTTATTTAGAAGAATCAAAAAATGATCTTATATCCTTTCCATCCAGATACATGTGAGTATTTGAAAACTGTCCACATTTCATTCATTTATCCTGATAAGACCCATTCAAGTAAACTGAATTACCTTGTTTGTTTTCTTTCTTATTTCTTTTTCCCTCCTTTGCTTGCCATCAGGGTAACCAAAAGAATAGAATTAAGAATCTAATCTAAACAGTACTAATTTGATGGAAAGTATCCTCTTGACTTCAAAGATCATTGAATCAGGTCCTATTACATAAAATGTTTGTCACAAATCTTGGGATAGAACTTACTTATGACTGAATCTCTATTTGATATCATAATCACTCATTGTAAAAAGACAAAAGCACCATCTTCATTATAGTGATTGGGAACAACATCCTAACTTTCAAAGGAGTGAGAAGTTTTATATCTAAAAATAACCAGCCTTCTAAGAAAGATCCTGGATGCTTGTAATTTTAACTGCTTCAGTTGCAGCCTTAGCCAGTTATTAGTCAAGATTTTCTTCTTGCATGTAATCATTTAATTTAACATCAGTATTGTATTTACAGAAGTAAACAGAACATGTCGTTCATTAATCCTACAATAACAGCTAGTGTGTAACCTTGGGTTTTTCAGCAACATACAAATGTTTGACAAAAGACTAACTATGACAATTAAACAGCATCCTTCATCAAAATAAAACAGTTACAAAGAGCTGTTTTGCTATTGTGCAACTATCAATCAGGCACAGCTGAATACAAGCTACTAGACATGTCACTGTCATTTCTGCTTCCTACAGAGAGGAAGAATAATAGCTGAGAAAGGGCAGGAGCAGGAACACCTGGAGTAGATAATTGCATGCTGCTTACTGGCCTCTCTAGCTCTATTTTGAATTTTGATACAATAATAAGGAATAATGCATCAACTATATAGTCTAGAGGTAGGGAGGATCAGCTGGGCAGATTATTTTCCCCTCTTACAAAGATTCAACAGATGAAATTGGTTTTGAATTGCATCGATACATCCCCCAGACTAAAGATGAAGTAGAAAGGTACAGTCAGAACAACTGTTTGCCTTGCCCTTCATGCCTTTGTTTGAAAAGATTCATGCTTTGAATCTTTTTCTAAAGGCAGCAAAGAAAAAGTAATTAATCATCAAAATATGCATTTGAACAGTGAATTTAAAATCACTAAGTGGAACTGGAACATATTTCAGTTTATAACCATTATGACTTTTCTATACCTGTGCAAGGGACAGGTGCGCTCTGTAGAATGACTTGACTTTCTGTAACACTTCTATGAAAGAAGTCATGGCCAGATTTCCTATATGTGAAAATCGAGGAAACATTGGAGTTGGTGAACACCTGGCATTTGCTCTGGGAAGTAATCTGATAGCTGGGACAAACACCCAGACCCAGGTGGTTGGAAGTACTGCTTGATGCCCCGTGCTCTTGTTCAATTTTTTTTGACTCCATGCACTATTTGGTTCCATGCAAATCTATGGAACTATTTTTCATAAATGGATGATAGCAAAACAAAATCCATCTGTGATTAAGAATTATTTTCACAAAGGTCCTGGCACATCAGGACATTACAGTCCTGTAATTAATTACCTGTGGGTAATAGAGTGCTATTACCCACTTTAGTTATTTACCATGTTTCCCTACAAACGTTTCATAGGCTTTAAAATAAGATGTGAGATGTTAGGCTGAACTGAGCATCTGGGGAGAGGGAAAGCCATGTGAGAATGCATTATCATAGAGCATCTGCAATGATACAGTGACAGTATAGGTACTAGTACACAGTTAGCCAATACCTTACAATGGCCAGGTGTGAAGAAACGAGGGATCAGAACACAGCTGGAGATTGCCAGAAAGCTGAGTCCAGGCCACTCAATCATTTGCTAGGACAGAGCAAGGACATAAAACTTCACTTTCCTATCACTGAAGTTTCTGCCTATTTTTATAGGCAACTTCACAGTATGTTTGAGCTGCAGAACTCTAGCAGAGGCATGAAATACAAATAGTATCTGCAGACAAAGCCAAATTTCCTCAAAAATCAAGATGTTTATTCTTGTGATAGCAGTCAGAAGCAACCCTATTAGAAACCATATCTTCTATACCTTTCCTAAAATCTCAGTTTCTACATTATTGCAGTAATTACTATTTGATCTCCCTGGCTCTTTTGCTAGTTTTTATAGCCAGAAAATAAGAGATATTCAATTTTGACTTCAAAACCAACATAATCTAGTTTTCAGCATCGATCTGCTGTAGGCCTGTTAGCAGGAGGTAAATATTTGCAGGGATTCTGTAGGCACATAGAAAGGAGGTCAATCACCATGGCAAATACTTTGCTATTTGCTTTAATGAAAGCTGATGAACTTCATTCTTCTTGTTTGTTTGTTTTCCAGTTTGCTCCTCTCTGCTTGCCTTGCCTACAGAAGACCTGATAAATTTGCCAGTGGGTCTCATTTTAAACTCCATTACTCTAACAATTTAGAGAATCCCTAATCATTGATTTCTAAAATTTCCAGGGTTTGCAGGGTCACATGGGCTTCTCAGCCTGATAGATCAAGATATATAGTATTATAGCTTTGATAACAATCAGGAAAAAAACTATGGATAGTATGAGATATATGTAATGCTTTGGCTATGTGCCCTTCCTCATTTGAAGGCAGTATTGGTCCTGCATGGGAGCTTAATTTTTTAATGGAGACCTTAATTTCTCTGCCTTGCACTGGGTATGCAACAAGGTATTCGGATCTACCAGACTTAGTCTTCTTCATTAAGTGACTTTCCAGCATGGTCATCTCTTATGCAGGTCCTAAAAGTGATGAAGACAGGATGAATTTAGTGATATAAGTGCAGAGCTACAGGTTCAACAGGTTCAGGAGAAAGAGAGAGAAGCAAGGCATGTCTGTCTAGTTTGTACCAGGTATGAAGTATCTGTCTCTGGAGCAGTTCAGCATAGTCCATGCATGCAGCCACCCAGGCTCTGTCCTTCAAACCATTAGTGTCAACCCATTATTTGGACCCACCTGTGATTGTGTGTAAACACTGTATTGTTATGCTGGGGTCCTTTGTCCTGTGCAGAAATTTCCATAGACAGCACCAGTGTCCAGCACCAGTCTCACTTTGTGAGATAACTGAGCTCATTTACAAATTAAGAGAGAAGGAGAAGCTCTGGGTAGGGCAGAGGTGCTAAAAGGTGCAACACTTGGGATACTGTGCTAAAAAAATAAAAAGTGAGAAAGGAGAAGACCTTCACTCACTTTGGGGAGAAAACTTGCCAGCTCTTCGCTTTCTTTTTTTTTGAGTATATTAGTATTTTAACACTTTTCATTTACTAGGTGACCTGGCTTGTGTTTTGACAAGTTAGAAACCAAACTTGTTCAGGGCCACAAGAACAGCTTTAGAAAAGTCTGCTAAGGCCACAGAAGGGATTCTGCCCTGTGGTGGGGAAGGATGGCAATGGTGAAGAAAAACAGACTTGAATAATTCATTCAGTGCATTCAGGGGCAATGTGGATCCTGCACTAGCCTGAACACGCTATTTGCTTTGCATTCGTAATGTTTAATTAGCCATTATAGAGCTGAGCAAGCCATATCATTACACTTAGCCTAATGTTGCTTTAACACCACTTCTTGGTTGTATTACCATGCAAAGACCGTAACTGCAAAAGACTGTTATTCCTTCCACGAGAGCTCTCTCTCAGAAATGGTCTCCACACAGGGGAATTGCTACTGGCCTGCAGCCACCAAGCTCCCACCTCATGAAATGAGATTGAATCATCTGTGATTTCA